ATATATATATATAGAGAGAGAGAGAGAGAGAGAGAGATACGTAGGTCATGTACGATCTTAATTGTTAATCCCTTACATTTCATTTTTCATTTATTTGTAGCCTCCTTTTATTTGTTGGTTCCTCCATTGTTTATATCACTCAATTGCCGTCAGGGATTGTAGTAGCTCCACAGGTGATTCAAAAGATAATATCAGGAGGGTTTCATTAAGAAATGTTAGTTACCCTTAATTCAAAGTATGCATTTACACGAGCAGGAAGACCAGTACTGATTGGTAAAGGTAAAAGGCAGAATGCACGACCTTCAAAATTTTCTACAGGATGTGTAGGCAAGCTAACACTTTTAAACAGATTAGGAGAAACCATGCAATCATCCTCCACCTCTGAACTTTCAACCAGGCTCCCACAACCTTGACAGAATTCAAATATGCAACAACACATGCCCAAGGAACAAAATCGTAACAGTTACTATTGGCTGTTTTAGATGCCCACTTTTGAGCATTCCCATCACCTAAACATTCTGTAGCTATCCAATAGTGTGAATTACGACTAGATGTGCTTTGCTCTGTTATTAGGATCTTCTAGCATTTGTAAGGCAAATCTCTGCCAATGGATAGGATTATTTGATTCAGAAACTGAACTGTATTCATTCAAACACATCTACTTTCCTTGAAAAAGTTTTAACACATCCTCGGCTTTAGTAGATCCAATTTCAGGCTCACCAATATGGGTTCTGTATACACGGTGCAGTATGTGCATTTCATGCCCTGTTCCTTCCTTTCCAAAAATAGAGATAGATTTCACATTACGCAGGAAAAGTAATGCTTCAAAAACAACCTTGGAAAAAGTAATGGGAATGAGAAAAGTCTTTCGATCCCACAAATGTATCCGGCAATATATATGGCAATATTGCTTCAAAAAGCCTGATTATCTTTAAAATGCTGGTTGGCAGTTCTAATATAAATATGATTTGCACAAATTACACAAGTTCACAAAAGCTTACTTATAGTGCTGCTCTTGCTGTTGCAAACTAAGCATGTCCAAAGCCTCTAATCCTCCATTCTTTATCTGTATGAACTATGAAGAGACCTATATTAACAATTTCTCAATAATCTTTGAAATGAGTAAAATTATACAAAAATAACTAACTACCATGTGCACGAGATGTAATTTATACATATCAGCCCATTCCACATTGTATGAAATCTATATACATCTGGAGGACAACAATAATGTGATATCGTAAAAATTGCAGGTTGTCGCAATATCATCAATACTAAAGCCACAACCACCTCCAAATAACAACTTACTTCAAAAGCCAAATGGCATCAGTAAATTAATGAAAATACTGGGAATGAGAAAAATATTTCAATGAAATCCAGTTGTTAAAATTTTGCCAAATTGTGTATCTGACAAGTTCATGTCACTACCACTTCCAAAGGTATGACTATCTTTGAAATGCTTGTTGGCAGTTCTATGTATTCCAATTTGCACATACTACACAAAGCAACAAAATCTTACATTTCAATATTTCATGTTGCTTCTTCTGTTATATACTCACCATGTCCAAAGCCTGCAAGCCTCCCTCCTTTATCTGTACATTGAAAAATTCATTAACTTCTCACAATCTTTAGATCAATTTTCTCAAATGAATAAAATCATTCGGAAAGTAATAGCCAAGCACCTACATGACATCTAATTTAACCATATCAGCCCATTCCACACTTCACAACAAGTTTCCAACATACATTGCTCTTGATGCAGCATAAATAACACATCCATATCACCATTTTGACATTATACATTGCTGGAAGCACCATTTCTCGAAACAAGAAGCACTACCTTCCTTTCACCTCTTTTCTGTACAATAACAACACCACATCACAACACCAAAGAAGCCATCTCCTCTCGCAGGCAAATAGCCTTACCACTATCCCCCTTCTTCGCGTATCCATCAATCAATGCCTCATACACAGTCACATCTGGGCTCACCGAACGCCCTTTCATAATCCTCAAATACCTCTCTGCATCTTCAACCTTCCCACAGCGGCACAAACACCGAATAATCGCCACGAAAACCAACAATCCAGGACTCACAGATCTGTACTCCATTTCATAATACAGCTTGAGAACTTCCTGAACCTCCTCCTTCTCAGCATAACCCTGCATCAAACGACAGTAAGTAACATCATTAGGCAAAAACCCTCTATCCAACAAAACAGTCAACATTTCATTTGCCTTCTCCACATAACCCCTCTCACACAGCCTCTCCACCACCTCATTAAACACCAAACAACCAGGCACAAACCCAACCTTCACCATTTCCTCAAAAGCACGCAAACACTCCTCCAACCGCTCCGAATCCGCGGCACAACCAACGAGAATGTGTTCAAACGTCTCACCATAAGGCTCCAACCCCTTTCCTTCCATTTCACGCATCAAACCAACCGCCTCCTCAATCCTCCCATCTCTGCAAAACGCTCCAATAAACGAATTATAAACAAAAGCATTCCCCTCGAAGCCTCTTCTCACCATCTCCATAAATAACCCCCGCGCGGAATCCAAATCCCCAAACACAACCTTGGCGTGCACAATCAACGAATACACGACGGTCTCGTGAAGCAGATTCTTCTGCAACAGTCTCTTCAACAAAACCACCACGTCGCGCTCCGATTCCGCCACGTGTCCCCTCTCCATGATCCTCAACATCAAACCGCAGTTAACAATCATAGAAGGAGAACGAAAGGTCCTCTTCCGCATGATCCGATCCAAGGTGTCAACACTCTTCTGCAATTCCCCTTCCTTGCACAGAGCATCCACCATGATCCTCAGACTCGTCACATTAGGGTAAGCCCTTCGCCGAATCATGAACTCGTAAACATCCCAAACGAGACCACACTCGTGAGATCTCTGAACCGCGTGAAGCAAGGCGTTGAAACTAACGACGCTGACGGAGAACCCGCGATCCTCGACGTAACGGCAAGCGTCGAAAGCGAGGTCCGTTAACTTGGCCTTGGCGTAGGCTTGGATGAAAAGGTTGACCGCGAGAGAGCGAGAGGTGGAAAGGTGACACGTGTCGAGAAGGGAATCGACGACCGCACGAACCGTGCGTGTGTCGGTGTTTCTTTGGGCGAGTGATTGGAGGAGTGCACGTGCGTCGGTGACTAACCTGGCTCCCAATAGGAGGTGGATGGCGATGCAGTAAGAGCGAGTCGCGTGTTGGAAGCCGTTGTGGCGCTTCGCGGCCCAATGGAAGAAGCCCAATGCGGCCTTTGCGTCGGTGGGGGAATTCAGGTGCAGCAGGACCTGTTCCACCGACGAGTCGTTTAACTCGAGGGCACCAAACTCGCGGGTTACGGCGTCCCAGTTTCGTCCCTCTCTGAAGGAAGTGCATAGTGCGCAAACGACGCTGTCCTCCAACCTTGCCTTTGACTGTAAATGACTAGCTTTGGAGAACAGCTTGGAAGCCATTTCGATTCTGGGGTTCGGTTCGGTCAATCTAAAACGTGGTCACGTGTGGAATATAAATATAGGAGAAATCACATAAAAATATATTACACCAACTGCTAGAAAATAATATGATATGAAGTTATTTTTTTAAAATTTCTCATATATTTTTTGGATTCGTTTTAATAAAAAATTTCTATATTTATGAATTCTTTTAATTCAAACATCATTTTTAAACTTATTATTTATGTAATTTGTAATTTATTATTTCTATATTATAGTATTAAATTTAAAGGAAAAACTTATTTCATAAACCCTTTAATTAAATTTTCCGATTATCGTAAAAAAAATTAAATCTATTAATTTGAATTAATAATAAAAAAAATATTTTTTTAATTTTGGCAAAGAAGCCGACTAATGTCAATCCACCCTAAGGGGAACACGCCAATATTTTAGTTCACTTTTAGCAAGAAAGTCAAAATAAATCGAATTAGTTCATTTTACTACTCCTAATCAAAAGTTATAACCATGAGACAAAACATAATTCTTCCTTTTAATTGTAATAGTCAGGTGTAACATGTCAACTCTGACTTAAGCCACCTTACATTTGCCTTGGGAAAATTAATGTCACAACCAGACAAAATTTCACAAAATTTATTTTACAAAATAATCCATTAATTTTGTATGTTTTGAAAATCGAAAAAAAATTTGTAAGTTAAAAAAATAAAAAAAATGTTATGAATAATATAATTAATGGCTCAATTAGTGGATGTCAATATTTATTATCATTCATTACCATTTATATTTTTTTTATGTATTATTCTCTTTTGTATAATTGTTTAACTACCACATGTACTTATAAATAGGTTAATCATTATACATCAGGCAGACAGATTCTTTTCTCCATCTCATATTATCTTGTTTGTTCTCTCTACTTTTTCTTTATTTTATAACACATTATCAGCACGATAGTCTTTCCTCCGTTGATGTTGCAACTGCAAGACAAAGCTATGAAGAATTTTTATGAAGAAAGTCATACTTTTCAAAACAAATATTTCAAGGTTAGCTATTCATCTTCCATAATAAGAATTTTATCAAATATTTGTATT